CTACGCCAACATTGTCAATCTCATCTTCCATCACACATGATTCCATCCATATTTATTATACTTGAGAAATTACCTTTGAATCAAAATGGAAAAGTAGATCGAAAACTTCTACCGCCGCCTGATTTTTCATCGTCAGTAGATAATATTGTTGGTAATGTGCCGCGCAATATCTTAGAGCAACAATTGCAAAATATATTTAGTCAAGCTTTTCATATTGAATCTCCTCATGTTGAAGTTGCTTTCGGTCAACTTGGTGGAACATCACTCGGTGCTATCCTAGCACTTACATTGATTCGTCAACAGATCTCTAATAAGATTGATATTGGTCTTTTATTTGCTAATCCATCTATTCGACAGTTAGCTATAGCAATAGAACCTTTATTAGTTTTCGAAGAACTACAAGAGACAATGTTCACAACCAACCTATCTCATGAGGTACATGTTCGTTTTTCACCTTCGTTTGTTATAGAATCTGTTGGTATTGTATTTCTTGTTTGTCAATGGTTATGTCCAATTATAATAATTCACCGATGGTATCCATTCCTATTTCCTGTTTTACCAGCATTCCATCTTTTATTCTATGTCATCTGCTCATGTCTATTCTCACCATGCTATATCAAAGCTGATAATCTTTTCTCTTGTAATTATTATCGATGGTGGTTTTTAGATCGACTTTGGAATAATAATATATTTTGGTTGCAGCATATACTTGGGACACCACTCTACAATTATTATCTTCGTCTTTGTGGTGCACGAATTAGTCTGAATACACATATTTATACCACAACTATCGATGCTCCATGGTTGTTAGAAATTGATGATGGCAGTTGGATTGCTAATGAAACGTGTTTGAACTGTTTATACTTTAATGATGACGACACTTTCAATCTGAGTTCAATTAAAATTGGATCTAATTGTTCAATCGGTACACGATCGATTCTATTTAATGGAGTTAATATGCAAAATAATATTATTGTTCAACCAATGTCATCGGTCACTGGCTTCATCGCATCTGAAACGATTGTCGATGGTGAAGAACATAAATCTCGTCCGTCAGATATTTCCATTGTGCAGAGTAATAGATCATTATCCATATGGCTTAAGATCTACCAAATTATTGCAATCATCTCGATAATCTGTATTCATTATGCACTTTTGATCATAGTATATAAAGTTTATTCAGTTGGACAAATACCACTACTAATCAGTATTCCTTTTTGTTGGACTTTATGGTCAATTGTTGGTTGTTTTATCTCGCTTCTCCTGTTGAAATTCATAGTAGGACCCTGTGCTGCTGGTGAAATATATCCGATAGCATCTTGGTTATATTTACAAAAAATATGGCTTCGTCAATTAATTGTATCTAGTTTTCATTATGCTTGGCTATTACCGACTGGCTATGATTATCTTTATCCTTATGTTCTTCGTTGGTTAGCTGCTCATATCGAAGAGAATGTCAAAATCGCTGAAATAGATAATTTTCTGTCCTGTCCAACAAATCTATTAAAACTTGAAACAGGTGTCACTGCTTTTGGTGGAGTCTTAATAGTTCCTACTGAGTTGACACTCACAGGTGGTCATCGTGTAGATCAAATAGTGCTTGGATCTTATACAAACCTTGCCAATGGATGTTCAATCTTGCCTGGTAGTTGCCTTGAATCTGAAACAATGATTGGCAATTTAACACGCATCTCACGAGAGACAAAAAGCAAATGTGGAGAAGTTTTCATGGGTATTCCAGCTCGTACAATGCCATTTCAAATGCCTGTAAGGTCAGAAATACAAGATCAGATTAAAATCATACCATTTTGGCATACATGTTTGTCTCATTATATTAGTAAATGTCTTTTATTAAGCATTTATTCATTTGGTGGTCTTGTTGGTGGGTCAATAATTCATACGATACTTGTCTGTAGCCTTAATCGATGCCGTTCATATAAAAAACACCATCAAATTGTAGAACAAATAATAGCGAGAGTAAACCAAGATTATGAACAATTTATTTCTCCATTTCTTGGTAATACACAATGGCTCATTCGACTATTTCGAGCATACGGCGCTCATATTGGTGAGAATGTCATAATGCCTGATATATTTTCTATTACCGATTATCATTTGATGACTATTGGAGATGATGTTCGACTTAATGTGCGTACACAGATACAGGTAATACATAAGTTTTTTGTTATTTACTTTCACATAAAATTGTTTTTCCGAATCTTTTCAGGGTCACAGTTTTGAACAACGTATTTTAAAACTAGCTCGTGTATCAATCGGTAATTCATGTGTACTAATGAGTTACTCAATTGTAATGCCAGGCTGCAAACTAATGGGTAACAATCGTCTTTATCCCTTGACATTGATAATGAAAAATGATCAATTACCATTGAATACTCATTGGAGAGGGATTCCTGCACGTAAGTCAATCAGACAAATAATCTGCTCTTATATAAGACTTCCAAGATATTGTCTAATCGTTATTAATATTCATTTGTTTATATCCTATCATTTCTTTTTAGTGAGATATACTGTTCTTAAAAATGAGCATACTATATAGTTCCCATATAAGAAGCTAAATTGAGTATAACATTTTCTAGATTTTCTCCTGACAAGCCATAATAAAAATCATTTGGTTAATGTTTTTTTTCACTTGCACTAGATTTTTTTAAAACTATTCCGTTGACTGTAGCATATGATATAATATACATCGAATCTATTTTTTATCATATTCTTTTATTAATATGGGATTCAATTAAATCTCTTTATCAGCATCTCATACTAGTATTAGATCGGTTTAAAATTATCATTTCATATCAAGAAATAATACATATATATGATACGATGAAGATACGATAGAGTACCGGATTCGTAATGTCTTAAACTGTAGTTAAATTAACTAGTTTTATAATTAGACTGAAAAATTAAAAAACTATACATCAAACATCTTGATAAGATTGTGCATTTACACTGTTTTCGAAATGAATACAAAAATCTTACACTTTTTTATGTTTATCATACGTTTTCTAATATCTGTATTCTAATATTTTGTCCTTTAAAATGGATTCATTTGAAATCAAACTGCTTACTTCTAATTATTGAATGTGTTCATTTATTGTTTTATTATATTAAATCTCTTTCTTCTAGAATCTTGCACAGGAAAAGCAAGATTATCTCGACCAACAATAGCTCATAACAATCTAGTAAAATATCAGCAAGGATACGAGACCATTAACAAATTATTTCTCTGGTACGAACGAATTGCAAGTATCTATACAAGTGTAAACGAATTACAATTTATAAATTATGGCTATGCAGATATGGATGAATATACCGATGATCATAATGGCTATTATTCAAGAAAGCTTTATGAACAGGTATGTGGAAAAGAATACAAGACTCTATTCTATGACTTTTCCGATGAACAAGTCATGAGTGAAATATTTTGTTTTATTTTCCAGGTTCTTGCAAATGTGACATTAACAGATCAGAATGTCATTGAAATCAATTGTGGTAGAGGTGCTGGTGCTGCATGGTGTGTTCATACTCATGCATCTTACTCTTACACTGGAATTGATCCATCTCAAGATGTCATTAATTTATGTCAACGACTTTATTCGACAACTCCTCGACTTTCCTTCGTAGTAGCTACTCCAACAAAACATTTACCATTCGAAAATGAGTCAGTTGATATTATTCTTTGTATTGAAGCAACACATTCTTTTGGCGAGTCAATAGCAATCACACAGTTTGCTAATGAAGTCGTTCGTGTACTTCGTCCAAATGGATTTCTTCTATGGTGTGATTTTTGTTACATGAATGGATCAAGTACATCACTTTATGATCTGGTAGCAAATGATAGTTTAATTATTGAAGAAAAGATTAATATTACAAGAAATGTTCTTCATGCACTTGACATTCAAAATAAATCTCGTACTGATTTTATTCAACGTTATATTCAAACCGAAGAGCAAGAATATTTTCGTCGGTTTGCTGGATTACCCGGTACTCAAATTTATGAAGACATGAGCCAAGGACGTTCAGAATATTGGCGAGTTATATTTCGAAAGAAGACAACAACAGATATATCTGTCATCTGAAATCAAATTTTAACTGAACAATATAAACACTTTCTTTTCTCAACTAACTATACTTTTTATTTTTAACCTTATATACGTACTAATGTCGTATTATTCTACTTCATACTAACATCTCATTTTGATTTCTTAACTAATAAATTATCTTTATAGTCATGAAGCTCTATTTATTTTATCACACTGAGTAAGATGAAGTTTTAAGAAAAAGTACATATTAAATTATCTTTTTATTTTTGACACAAATGTTGTCTTGGCTTTTGAATCATTCGATTAGCTTTAGTAGATAGACTCGGAATGAAAATAGAATGTGATTTGGATTAAATAATATCTATTTAGATTAACAACAAAATGTCTTGAAATTCACTCTAATTTTTATTTAATTCATCCTTATATTAACTGACTGAAGCTAGTGTTGAATCAATCATATTGAGGATGGATACGAGTATAGGTTTGAGTATGAGTAAAGAAAAGATGCGTGTCCACCCACACCTAAAACTTTGCCACCAACTTTAGTACGACTCATTTTCCACTTACGCACTTTGAACGTTACGTCCTTTTCATAAACAAAACCAGTTTGTGTTGCTCATTTCACTTTCTTCACCTTGTAACACATTAACAGAGTACAAATCATGTCCATAATTCTTCATCTGTACAATATCAGAAAATGTTATTTTTTTTATCATCAACTGTCTTAGAATCTCACTTGAAAAAAGTGCATTGTATATTTGATCATTCAAACAAAGATCAAAACTCGTCTTTCATCTTTGTTTTCATAGTTCTATATTCCAATAATCTCTACATTCAATATATCTTGATTTCTCATAGATAAAACCATCAAATCTTCTCTCAGATTGGTATTTTAATGGTTTCTACTGTAGGAGATAAGAATATGATTATGACTATGCATATTTTATTTGTTTGTTACATACATAAACATTTACTTCTCATTCATCTTATTCTATTATCATCGAGATTTAAATCTCGTGTCTTAAACGAGATTTGTTTATATGAGAAATAGGTTTATACTCGATTTTTGGTAACGAACATGCTCTGCGTATCGAATTTGATGGTAAAAAAATACTTATTCAGTTTTTCAATATATTAAACAAAGAATTTCTGTTTTTTTTTCTTTTCTCTCACTGCGTACACTCCAGCTACAGCATACATTGGATTTACTTGTCGAAATGTTGAGCTTCTTTGCTGATAACCAATTGATCCCTCATGGTCATTTGACTATACGAGCAATGAGTTAAAAGTTTTTAATTCGATTCTCTTTGTTAATATAATTCCACTCAAAGATATCGTTTATTGATTCACATGAGAATTGCTTTTGCTCTCTATCTGTTTCATTATAGAAACTCGTCGTGATATTAGGGTGTGAGTGTATCTCTTCGCTTAGTTCACACGCACACCCACACCCACCCACACCCTCAAGTAAAATACTTTTAACAACTCTGTTAAATATTTATTTATTTATTT